TGCGAAGAGGCGGCGGGTGCAGCCGACGGTGACGCAGACGATCGCCTTGGCGCTGTCGATGCTTGGGGCCGACCTGCCCGCGCCTGCGGCGGAGCGGGGATGACGGGCCAGCTAGTGTAATGTATCCATGTAGCCTTAGAGATGCCTGTGTCAGTAGCGTACGCACGTCCTAATACAATTTTCGCCCTGTCCTTGAGAGACCGTCGCACCCGGTGCGGGCGCCGTGTTACAGGCGACACTGCATCTGCGGAAGCCAGGCTCACGCGGCAGCCACAAAACATGGATAGCCTGAGATATATATGTTGTAATACACTAGTTATACATCTGTTTATACTTTGGCGGCAGCGGACAAGCCTGCCTCTACCCCAGGCCGAGTCCGTCGCCAACGTCCACGCAGCGCATGAACAGAGAGAGAGAGATATGCACAATAGATACCGGTGCCCCTGCTGATGTACAATAGGCGGGACGGCAGGTCCCAAGTCTTTCAGTGTCTGCACTGCTGTTTCTTCTTCGGCTCGGTAGCGTACACCACGGCGACATAGCAAGGAGATGAGAGCGATAGCATGAGTCTTGACGAGGTATAAGCCAACGAGGAGATATGCGTTTCTAGATGCGCGGTCATGGTGAGAATGAGACGTGAGGATCGGTCGTCAGTGCTGTCGTTACGGGCGCGTGTGCCGCTGGGGAGAGGCCGGTCATTGCTCGAAGCTGCCCGCACCGCCCAGGGACGCCATCCAGATTCTGGTTTTGTACAGCCTATAGGACACGCGTCAGTCATCGCAGCAGACGCAAGAAACGACGCGCACTACGCACCGGAATAGTTCCCGGACAAGCTCGCGGAAGTCGATCCGCTTCTCGGCGATAAAATAGAACGTCAACTTGCGCCGGTCCCTGTGATGCGGCAGTAAGCATCCGTCGATAAAAGCATGTCTGCCACATCTTACCATTGGAACTCGGCGTCGACAACCTCCATGGGCAGCTTGCGTTGCCGCACTTTACTTCGGCACAACTCTAGTGCTTTATCTTCGTCTTGCAATTTAATAGCAAGTGCCCTGCAAAGTTGAACGTCAGCGTTCACACATACGACGCCACACGCAGCAAACGCACTGTGTATCTTGCAACTGAGCCTTCCCATATATCATCTTGGGATTGATCTCCTTGCCACTGCCGCCACTAGACCCGTTCGGGCTGGTGGGGACGCCATGTGCGTCCGCATATCCAATATTCATGAGCTTCTGCTGCTTCTGGAACGCCTCTACCTCCGCAAGGGTGATCGTGTCGTTGATGACCCTGCCCAAATCTTTCCCGCGGTCCGCCTCGACGATAACGATGTCGTTGACGCGGATATCGGGCGCGAGGTCCGTGGAGTAAAACAAATCTGTGCGGCCTGCCTTGAACTCGACAATGTACAGCGGCCACGACGTCGGCACCGAGTGGAGCGGCACGCCCTTGCCCAGCTCGCTCAATGCCTTGCTTGCCGGCTCGGACCCCGAGGGTCGGCGCTGGATCGCAGGCGCATAGTGGCCGGACGAGCGCAGGCTGACGGGCGAGATGGACTGAGCCATGATGCTCTGCTCGGGGATGTGCTGGATACCCTGGCCGGGGACGAACCGCGCCATGATCCTGTCGCGCGCAGAGTCGCGAGCGAGCGACCCGTAGCCGTCTTGAGCGAGGGCGTCAAGGTGGCTGCGAGAAGGGCTGCCGCCTGACAGGCCGCTGTCGCTGGGGGAGCCGATAGACTGACGAGATGCGAGCGAGCCGGGGATGTTGAGGTGGAGGGGCTGATACGGCGAAAGGCGGTCTGCACCGGATGGGGGGCTGCGGGAAAGAGGCGCGTATATGGGCAGGGAGGAAGGTTGGCTGGGCGGATGCATGGTGGAGGAAGGGCGGCCGTCATCACGGAGACTAAGCATATTAAGGTCGCTGGCAAGGTCGTCGTCAGTAAGAAGCAGGCCCCCACCCCCCGCAAAGGAAGCAGAGTGGAAGGCTCCAGGTCGTGTCTTTTCTTCCGGGCCGTCGCCCCCTGGAACATTGAAACCAACTATAGCCGGCCTTCGAGGCTGCACCACGCTGACGCTATGACGTCTGCTCGTGGTCCCGCTTCCGCCGCCGCCGTTTTCGTCGCGTGGGGGGTGCATCCCAGCCCACAGCTCGCGAAAGGCCGATCCGTCGTCCAGAAGAATCTGGCCCACGTCTCGGACGAAGGGGCTCATGTTGGAAGGGTCGGTAATGGAGCCGTAGCCGCTGGAGGAGGACCTGCCGAGGGCGCCAAGGGAGCCATAGCGGCTGGCGGGGGCTTTTAGCTCGTTATACCGAGGGGCCGGAATGTTTTTGGCGTTGGAAAAGGAAGAGTCATTCCAGAGGCTGGACGAACCGTGGGGGAGGCCGGTACCAATGGGGCCCGGGCGCGTGGTGGCGAGGGATTGGGATCTGCTGCGGGTCAGATCGGCCGCATAGGTGCGACCGCGTCCTACCTGGATGGAAGAGCGGGGGTAGCGGTCATCATAGGGATCATAGGGGTCCTGGATGTCGGAGAGGGCCTCGGACTCGTCGTCCTCGAAGGTGGAGGCGAAATGGGAGTCGCGCATGGCGGAGGAAAAGACGGCCTGGGGGTTGGGAGGGGAAGAGGAGAAGGAGGCACTTCGCGTGGGAACTGACTGGGGAAGAGAGCCGTTGGTATTGTTAGGATTCAAGCCCGAGAGACGGGGCCAGACGCCGTTTGAGGGATTTCGCAAGGGCTGCATGGGAGAGGAGAGGAAGGCCTGGGTGTTTGTTCTGGGGGGCTGGCTGGCGGCACGCTCTCTGAGGTTGTTGGAAGAATCGGAGGCATGATCAGAGAGGAAGCGGTTAGTGCGGTCGTCGTCTGAGGCGTACTGCTGGTGGGTGATGGTCTGCATGGGGGAGACGGATGGGAGGCCGAGGGCGCGAAGCTGCTCGAAGTTGTATGGGCTGGCCAGATTGAGAAGATCCGCAGGGAGGCGTCGCTGAAATGAAGGGGACTCTGAGATTGCGTCGGGACGCGGGGGACGAGGGGGAGGATCTGGGGGAAGAGAACGGTAAGCGGGGAGAGGAGAGAGAGAGATGGCCCACTGGAGGGGGGGCGCACAATACAAGACGGTGTGGAGAGGGCGAGAGTGTTCTACTCTAAGCTCTAGACGGAATCTGGGACGCGGGGGGCGAGTCTAGGAGACGGGAGGGGCAGAGGCGGCGGAGGGACGGGGAGCTGAGGGCGAGGACGTCGTGGTGGACGGCGAAGAGGGGACGAAGGTCGTCTGCGCTGCCCGCCGAAGCGCCCCTGTGCCCGATTAGGCAGTCCGGGTCAGCTGTGCGATGCCCCTGTGGTCGCAGCCCGCCAGGTGACTGCCGCTTATCACGCTCGCGCTCGCACTCGCACGCGCACGCCCGGAAAACCACCGCAGACAATTCGTTGCGAACGTCTCCCTTCCCCCGGGGCCTCTGCTGCCTACACCTCCAACACAACCTCCGTCGCCTTGAACGCCGTGTTCCCCGGCCACACCCGTATCGGCACCTCG